AGGGGGTACAAAGCCAGCGTGTCCTTGGAAGCTGCGGTGACAGTCCCCCCTGTCGAGGGCGGTGGGAGATGGGCAGCATTCAGTGCTGCAGCCACGCAGTAACTGCTGCTCACTGCGGAGCGAGGGGCTTTGTGTTTCAGACCTGAGGCAGGCGGGATTGGGGAGCTCTGTGTCTTTAGCTTAGTTTTTATTTACTTTCCATGCAAAAAAGGTGTTTCCACCTTGGTGATTATCAGGCAGCTTTAGCTTTATAGAGTTGGCCTGCTTATATGCAAAAACCACAGCTTGTGTGCGTGCTCATGTAAAATACTTTTGAAAGTGCTGTTTGGACCGTGTTTGCACAGGTATTTAGTTAAAATGCAATTCAGTTGTGCAAGTCTGTTCTCCTCTCCCTCTCCTCCTGCTTTCCCCCAAAGTGCTTAGACAAGAGCTTGCAGCCGTGTGGCTTAGAGCACTTCATCAAACTTCAGAAGACGCCGGCGAGGTTTACAGGTGGTTATGAACTTGTTTGCACTATTGAGACAAAATGCTAAAATCTCCTTGAAGACCTCAGCCTTTCATGCTCCTTGGTGGTTGCCCGAGGGGAATCGGAGTCCTTTGGTTGCTTGCATTGAAAGCGCTGTCGTCTATCCATCCTCTTGCCAGAGCTGCTCCGTAAGAACTCCTTACATCTCTGGTCTCCTGTTCACATAGTGATTTCTGAACCCTTGTTTTGAAGTCCTGTGTGGAAACCCATGGCTACAGTGCAGAATCCTCAACTAGAAACTGGGAACAATAAGAAAGTTGTGGCTATTTAAGAAGCTTTTTTTTATTAACTTACAATCTTTCTCATCCTCCCTTAGAGTGTTTCTGGATCCCAGCCACTAGAGAACTTGGGTATTTCAGCTGCAAATACTCCTGAATCCCATCCTGCCAAGCCCTGTGGAGCACCAAGACCCGTCAATGGAGTTATTAACACGTAAGCTGCTTGCATGTTATGGGAAGAGTTTGGTTTTTCTGATCTTGACAAAGTCCTCTGGGAAACCTGTAACCTGCTGGTTGGTAATGGTATAAATGGTCTCTTTTTGAAAAAACTGTGGTAGTAGATCATGTTTGGAAACATTTTGGAGGAGATAACTTGCTTGAGGTTTTCTGCTGCATTGTTTTTCTGAAAATGGTATTAAACTGAGCTGTGTTTACATGAACCAGCCCTGCAGGCAACCATGCAGTGAGCATGTTCAAAACTGTTTCTTTATGGGTATTTTTGAATACACTTGCAAATTGTGTGATCCAAAGGTACTAGTGGCCCGCTTGCAATTATTTTGCAGAAGTATCTGTAACCAGTGGCCCACTTTTCTGGAGGTACTGAGGAACTCAAATCCCATTGATTTTGGGAGTAAGACTTTCTAAATTCTTTGTTTCTTCAGGCTGTTTCTGTTGAGAAAATCTTTCAAGTGGGTGAACGAAAACAAGTTAAAGAAATTCTCCTATGCTACAGGACAATTTCAGGGTTGAACCACTGGAAAACCCTTGAACACATGGTGCTTTGAAGTTCTGATAGTGGCTAAAGAAGCATTGCCAGCACCGTTGCACTTGTTTAGTACCTTGAGGAGAGAGGGATGCTGCGCCGGTGCACCATGAGCAAGCGTAGCAAGCACTGATCAGCTAACTCATTGCTACAGCTGAAACACTGCAGGCTATAACAGAGCCCTTTATATGCCTGTAGCCTTTGAACTGCAGAGCCTCAGACCACAGGGCTTTAATGTTTTGCATTTTTAGAAATGAAACACTTGTAAAATATAAATGAAAAGGTTCCGTAGATGAGGAGGTGTGCTGGTATTTGGTAGGTGGCATGGTGTGTTGATGCCACGGTAGGGCAGGGTTACAGCGTGTGGACAGGAAAGTCCTTTGTACGTAGAACAGAAAGGTTAATGTTAACGTTGCACCTTTCTGGTGTCACTGCCGAGAGCTGTTACAGGTAGACTTCTCAAATATTCATCAGAATCAAGTTCACATCAAGGTTAAATGTTTTTTTTTCCAGAAAATGATATGTTCTGTAGCATTGAGACTCAGGAGAACTTGTTGTCTTAAGATGCCCTGAACTGTAATTCTGAGGGAAGCTGAATTCTGGGATTAAAGCTGTTCAGGCCTCGAGTGGCTTTTGGTCTTGCTCTGTGTCCGGCTTTAAATGCTATTTTTTGTTCAGAACTTCCGAAGGTATTTTGTCAAAAGGTTCAGTGATGGGAGAGTGTGGAAAGTGACTAAAGTAAAAGCAAAAATTAGAGTTGGCTTAATAAAAGCCATTGCCTTGTGAAACTGCAGTGCTTTAAACTCAGCTTAGAGCGTTTGCTACGGTCTGAGTTGTGAACCCGGCTGGTGCTGCTGGGTAACATGGGGTGGTTGAATGAATAACAGCATCTTTCGTACTCTCTTCTCTTCTTGGGCAGTCTTCAGCCTGGCCTGGCAGAACATGCTCAGGGAGATGGCCAGGAAGCTGAGGAGCTCTTGCATAAAAAGCAACGACTGAACATGGTTTCTTCATCTTCGGATGGAACGTGTGTAGCAGCTCGCACTCGCCCAGTACTGAGCTGTAAGAAGCGACGGCTTGTTCGACCCAGCAGCATTATGCCCCTTTCCAAAAAGGTGAGTGCTGTTTATTTTTTTGTGCAGTATATGGCTAAAGCTCCACACCAAAGAGCCTGGCGAGGTACTGATGCGCTGGTCCGGTGTGCTTTTGCTCTTTGCACGAAGAAGTCTCCTTGTTTTGGGAACGTTTGTGGTTATTAAGAGGGGGAAAATAACGGAGAGGAAGAGGAGGACAGTGAGGTTTCAAAGGCTGTTGGAGAAGTAAAGGAGAAAAGAAGGAGAAGCTTTTAATTTGTTGGAAGACTTATTAGCTGTCACTGGGGAGGGGAGATGCTGAACTCTGATGTGGGTTTTCTTTTCTAAAACCAACCAGCCTGAGGTGAACTTCAGTTCACCTGGCACAGTCTGAGCACTCGAAAGGAGCTCTGAAAAGTCAAGTATCAGGAAACCTTAACTCTGAGCACAGGAATTAACACGGCCCCAGGAACTTGCTGCTACTTGCTCAGCTATGGTTGTCTGACCAGGCATATGTGGGATGTCTTGCAAAAGGCCTGCCAAGGTGATTGTGTTCACTTCTGCTGCTTGAGTTTGGAAATCACTGAATGCTGTGACTCTGCTCTTGGGCTTGTTTTCATTTATTTTTTTATTTTATACTCCTCTCCATGCAGTCTTCCCCTGCCCTTATGCAGAATTCAGTTCGGTGGAAAAACAGTTTATTCCGTGTAAGAGGAAAGGATGTGCTTCATTCTTTCTTTTTAATTTCTCTTAGGAATGCCATAAACTGTCAGTTGGAGGATAGAGAGTTAGAAATGGAGGGAATAAGGACCTTTTTTGTGCATGCAGCTCTCATGATTGCAGAACCATAGATGGCAAAAATGCACTTACCTTTGAGTCAAAGTGTTTCAAGTCAGACTTCACCACAAGGGTTTGGGGGTTTTCACTCTGTGGGTGCTGGAGTTTTAAAGAGAAGCTGAAAAAGCAACATTCTTCTGAGCAAAATAGATTCTCACTCAGCTGAGTTAGCTTTAACTGCTTACTCGTTTGCAGTTTTATCTGGGGTATTTCTGGTAAACCTCTGCAGTGACTGCTTGCAAGATCTTCAGTGATTTGGAAGTTTATGAACTGTCTCATAGGTGATGCTGACTTGTGCACTCAGTGTTTGAAGAAGTGGCTGTTAATTCTGTGTTAGTTATTGACTGTGTTCTTAAAATGCATTTGATAATCAGAGATGCTTCAGAAGGGCCGTTCCAAAGGATGGAAGAAGTGCCACATAGCAGAGGATTTCTGTGGACTCCTCCAGCTATTTGAGAGAAAGCTGAGTGATGGCTAGGTCATGGTCCAGAAATACCCTGTCCAGTTGACTACGCTCTCCCGTCCAGCCCAAAGTGATTGTGGACTGCTGCGACCAGAAATTACCACCAGGAGAGTTCAGCAGAGATCATCCCTAACTGTGCCTGCTGGTTTACAAAATCTGCATACAACATCACTGGGAAATTTTTAAGTTAGGAGATGTCCTGTAGGAAAGAAAAGTGCCTTAAAGGTTGAGTGGGTCTGTAGCCTGCATTGGGTTGGAAACAGGACGGGATCTCCTGCAGTCACCCACAGCATCCCCATGCCCCAGAGCAGACTGCTCTCTCCTCGTACCATGCCAGACAGTTTGTCTAAACCTCCTTAGGCAAGCTATTTGAGTGCTTAGCTGGTCTTGTTTTTCAGACAGCAAAACCAAACAAACCAAACTTTCTAAGATAAGCTGCCTTGGCTGCCATTTATCGTCTAATGACTTTGCTCCAGTAGTCCCAAGTCCTGGTGTGAACTGGTCAGCACCCCTCGTCACCTCAGAAGCTCTCCCCGAAAGTTGATGTGGTAATTCTTAAAGTGGTCAGCTATACACTAAACATACCTAGGTTTTGCACATAGGATGTATTTTTTTGGATCTTATAATTTTTTCTGTTATTTTTCGCTCCGTTTGGTGCACACGTTTCTTGAAATATGTGCCCGAAGCTGGGTGCAGCCTGCCCTCCAGCTCACGTGTTAGCATTGCTGAGTGGAGTGGCAGGATTAGCTCATGCATCTTGCACAGCCACCCCGTTTATAAAGCCCTGTGGGGTGTTAATTCTCAGTAATGGTACAACACTGCTGATTCATGCTCGTTTTCCAATCCATAACAACCACCAGATCCTCTGGGCAGAGCTGCTGCTCAGTTACCTCTTCCTCCTCTTCACTGGTCACTGAAGCATCTGCTTGTTGCATTTGCCATCAGTGAATTAAATTTTATTTATTTTGGATAATTTCCAGCCCTTTCCTTCAAGGTACTTGCAGCCCTTCCCAGTTCTAGTGTTATTTGCTAAGGCTTAAGGATATTATCACTTCCATTATCCAAGTCATGAATGGAAATGATTTGAATAATACTAGACCCAGAAGAGACTTCTGCAGGATCCAGTTTGATGTATCCTTCCATTTTGATGGGGAGTCATTGGTTACTTTCTTGGTATGGGATTTACATCCAGTTCTGCATCTGCCTACGGTGGTTTCATATAAATGAAGTCTATATAAAGTCTATAAATCCATGAACTGAAAGTCTGTCCTGGTTTAGGAAGCAAGGTTGAAAACCACCCTTTTTCACCCTGTGAAGATGTCCCTGTAAGTGTCAGGTCTTGGCATGTAGTGATGTCTCTCTGACCCCAACTCAAAAAGGCTTTTTTTTTCCTGACAACTGAATTGTGCTGCCTCACGGGTTTTATAAATGAGGTTTCAACCAAAATATAATTAAACGCTTTTAGTCAAATTTCATAGATGTTAAACTGTCTGTGCTGGTGAGTAGTAGTTTTCAGTTGTGTTTATGCAAAGTGAAAGTGTCCTTTTATGAGTCCAGACTAAATGAAGATGTTTTATACAAGGTATTAAAAAAAAACCAAAACAGCCTTTCGGATGCCTTTCATGAGCTGTCAAAGGGGAACGTGTGAAGAGAGCCCTTAGGCACGCTGACCTCTGATGTGTTGACACTGTTCTCTGTCCCCTTTCCAGGTCTATCGGAACAGCCTGGTGCGATGTAGCTGCGATGTGAACCCTTCTTGTGCTCTGTGTGGCACTCGAAGCTCGACGACTCTGGAAATCCAGTATGATGCCCCGTTGCTGGAGCGCCTCTCCCAACTGGACTCGTGTATTCATCCTGTCCTGTCATTCCCAGATGGTAAGCCCAGCACCCACGGAGCTGCCGGGGGTATTGCCAAACTGGGTCCTGAGATCGGTAACAAGGGATGCTTGGAGGCGCTGCGGCGCCTGCTCCTCCGCCCTGGGCTTCCAGAGGAGGTGCAGATCTGTTTGAGTAGGACCAAGCTTGTTCGTCTACAAGTATTTTTAGGAGTAGAGCATTTACTGGAGCGGAAGGGTCTGGGAAAGCGTTGCACCTGGTCTGCTCTGAACGTCTGTAATGGGAACCTGACCTAGAGCCCTGCTTGGGGTGGAAAAACCAAGCAGTGCCTGCGAGTCTGTACTGGGTCCTGGGTCTTGGGCTGGTGTCTTTGTTGCTATAAACCACTTGAGAAATATTTGCTTCCGCAGAGTTTTCTTCGTCTGTGTAAAATTATTTGCGGATTGGTTTAAGTCACGGGAAATTTTTTTGACCTTGTAAGGAATTGTAAATGATCTTCCATGGTTCAGAGGGTACAGTAAGAAGGGATGTTCCCATTTTAGACACTCATTTCCCTGTGTTATGGGATCAGGGTTAATCATCATTAAGAGGAGTAACTAACTAACCCTGACTGTGGGATATTCACAGATTTCATGTGTAGGGACTTTTCCCAAGGGAAAAGAAGTAGTTTCCGGAGTCTTTTGCTTCCTAAGCTGACAAATTAAATACAAGCCTGTTCTTTGACCGAAAACTATTGGCTTGCATGAAATTGGTGTCCATCTGTTGTTTTTTTGCTCTGATCACAAGCTACAGGACCACAAATGTTAGGAACTGGTACTTTTATCAGGAGAGTCAGGCAGTAAATAGATGGTAGCAGTTCCTGTCCTGAGTAGGAGTGTGTGGCTGCTTGAGGGGTAAAACACCGCTGGTGATGCTGGGAGGAAGGTGTGTGTCCTTGCTTCTCGTGAGGGTGTCAAGTGGTTGGTCCAGGTTAAGGCACTGGGCTAATGTGTGTGTTTGGGTTTAAATTCCAGCTTTGCACAAACTTCGTGTGACAGTAGGAAATGTACAGAGTGTCTGGGAACAATTAATCTGGCATCTTCCACCAGCACTATGTTTAAAACAGACTAAAATAGCAAATGGATGCTATTTTTAAAAACTTAAGTCCCCACCTCAAAGAAACATCTCTGTTAAGGAATGCTAAAGGAACCGAACACACTGAACCTCCTGAAGGAGAAATTTATTTCCTGATTTCACAACATTTGTAATCCTCTGTCTGTAGTGTTAAATCTCATAGGATGTGATGAGAAAACCTGTTGTGTATTATTGCAGCATGGCCATCAGGCAATTTATCTCGTCCCATATTTGCTTTCCATTTTCTTAGGGTCAGCTGCAGCCAACTCACTCGTTAAAAGATCCGTTCTGGCTGCATAAGATTAAAAACTTTGGTTTAAAAACTGTACAGTATAAAGCTTAAAACACCTGTACAGAAATGTCCCCCTCCATCCCTCAGATAAACTTTGATTATTCACTGATGCTTAGTGTCGTTTTGCTAGGGTTGCTTTTGGGGGATGGGGATACTTCTCTATCCAAACGTAAAGCCAGGTAGCGTGTTCCCGTAGGGAAATTGCTCTGCCCGACGTTGTGAGTCCGCATCGAGGTGTCCGTCTGCCTGTGGGTGTTCATCCAGCTTGCTGGTGGTGCTCCCCCGTGGTTATTCTGGGGGCTCACCTTGAAAGCCAGCCTCTGCCCAGTTAAGACTTTCTGGAGGAGCTTGCGAGGTTGATCGGTGGCGCCTGGCTAGAGCTGTGAGCATGTGCTGACTTTCACTTTGAGCCTGTCTCTCCGGGGCTCCGCGGTGCCAGCAGCCGGGGATCTCCGGTGCCGTTTGCCAAGGGCAAAATTGCCAGGCACCGCAGGAGGAAAAAGATCATTTCTTCTCCTGGCAAGCAGGGTGCAGGCATCGCGGCTTTTAGCCCGTTGCACTTGCCCTTCGGAAGCGCTTTGTCCCTTTTCTTTCAGGATTTTTTTTTTCCCCCCTTTTTTTTTTTTTTTTTTTTTTTTTTCTGGTTCATCTGATTTCTCGCTGGGAATTTTCAGATGATGTAATAACCTTGGTGGGGAGGATGAGAGCCAGGGCTCTCCGGCTCAGTGTGGTTGCCATCTGCCGGTCCCCGGGAGGCCTGCACCGCTTGGCCGAGGAGGAGGAGGAGGAGAAGTGACGGTGTCATTTGCTGCACAGACTCTGGTACAACCAGTGCTGACAGCAGGACAGTGATAAGCCAGCAAATAACTCCTTTTCTGCTGACAGTGTTTTGTCTTGCGTTTTTCCCCTCCCTCTGACCTGTCTCCTCCTTCCACAGACGTGTGGGCTGCTGGGATGGGATGAATTTTCAGGGAAAAGCAAAAAATTAATGGAAAAAAGGCCATTTTCCCAGAGTCAGACCGCTTCAACACGGTGATGTTGCAGCCTCGCTGGCAACATCCTTAAAGGACTGGCTTGGCCCCTCTCTGTTCTTTGGGACCTGTCTCCACAAACCAGTAGTGGTGGCCGAAGAGCTGCCATCATCACACTGTGGTGGCCCTTCCTTAGCAAAGGGATGGGGCTAAACCAGAGCTTTAACTGTCAAGGCCCTCGAAATGCAGCTCTCCTGGCTTTTTCCTGAGAGTCAAGTTCCCCATAGTAATAACAGCCGACTCCAGCCCGTGCTCTGCCAGCTCTCTCCATCCTGGCGGGATCTGCTGGGGCTTCCCAGTCCCTGGAATTGGTGGGGAAACACTGGGGAGGGGTTCAGATACCAGCCGTTGAGACTGCCGACAGGGCTTGAACCTCTGCCGCTTGCCCTCTGAGATTATCTGGATGCAGTGTCTAAATCCCACGGCAGCTCCTAATTGTGTCCCCGTCCCCTCTGCTGGCGCGGAGCGAGGAGCTTTATTCCTTGTGCAGGGCCTGGGAAGGTTCATCTCTGCTCAGAGTTGCTTCAAAGTCCCTGTGAAAATGTCATGTGAGCTTGGGAGATGTGGGGGAGGGATGTTTGTACTACTGATGCTCATCTTAGTGCTTTTAACTCCTCGTTGTGGCAGCGTGAGTTTGCATCGGGCTGCGTGTCCTGCTGGCGACGGTTTGCTGGTCTGTACTGGGGAGGAGAGCAGATGGGTGGCACGTCAAACCACAAATGCTGGTGTATAATGATCTTATGGGTGTAGCTGGAGAAGATAAATGCATGTCTCAGTAGTTCTCCTGTTAACCCTAAAGTTGTCGTGCTTCTCCGAACTAGGATTTTGGCCCTCGGACATGTAAAAGGCTGGAGGGTGTTGGGAGGAGACTTAGGCAGCAGTATTTGGTGGTCAAATCTGAAGTCTGAAGCTATGAGTGTGAAAGGAAGGCTTATTTTGGGGGCTTTTGGGGCTGGATTAGTTTGCTACTCCAGTTAATGGTTTTTATAGTCTGCCTTAGCCTATCTGCACAAGAAATACACTGAATAATCTCATCACTGTCTTTTGGCCGAGGTCAGGAGTGCACATCTGGGTGGGATTTGGGAGAAACAAAGCTTGAATGTGAGCAAAAGTAGTGTCTGCTGAATTTCACAGCAGTACAGCGTACTTGTGCTCGTTGTGAGACGGCAAGGTTGCGTAGGGACAGGTACTCGGGATCACCACGATCTGTGGTGTGCACAGAAACTTCAGGCTTGAAACGCATCAGTTACTCAGATAATTACCCGTGAGTTTACCTGCTCACAGGCGGCTGCGTGACCCGGGCCCCTGCCTGGGGAGCCCCCAGCGAGCAGCAGTGCTTCTGCTCTTTGAGCCTCTGGAGTGTGTTCAGGCAACTCACGTTGGATGATCGAGGTGTCACATCAGGCAGATTAACGTCGTGCGGTACTTGGTTGGCTTCTGGCGTGACCTGAAATTGAGGATTTAAGCTGAATTTCTCTCTTCCAGCCTGTACCCCTGTAGATTTGATGTGCTGAGATATCTCAGATTCTTGGAAGTCAGATCTGAGATAGCAGAATTGAGCGTGGCAGTACGTGAGATACCTTCAGTGGTAAAGGTGCATGGTTTTTCTGACAAAGGCTTCGTTCTCCTCCCGGGATATACTTGGGCTGTGAATCCTGTAGGAATGTCCTTCTCTCAAAGAGCTTCAGATGAGAAATGTTGGGTCCTACCATCGCAGGTCCTCCCTGAACGTGCGTTAGGCCTAGGCAAGCCTGGGTTTTGCAGTCAGTCGCACAGCCTGTATGTTTGTCGAGGGCTGTTCTTACTGGGGGACTGGGAGAGGATTACGGTACCGCAGCTTTCTGGTGCATAACGTAGTTAATTCGGGTGCCGTGGTTTCTATCCCTCTGCAGATGTGCCGACGAGCCTGCACTTCCAGAGCATGTTGAAATCTCAGTGGCAGAACAAACCCTACGAGAAAATTAAACCTCCCAAAAAGCTCTCGCTCAAGCACAGAGCCCCCATGCCTACCAGCAGCCTGTCTGACCCTGCTCGCAAGGACCGCCACAAGCTGGTGAATTCCTTCTTCACTGCAGCCAGTAAGTGTCCTCCCGGCCTCTGCCGCGTGCGGGAACGTTGCCTGGTTTTGTTCCCGACAGCCCTGCGATCTGGGAGGAGAGAGGAGGAGGATACCCTGCAAATTCAGCTGTCAGGGGTGAGGCCGTGGTGTCGCAGGCCAGGGCTGAAGGTGAATTGTGTGCAGGTTGTGAAGTTCAGGCTGGTCTCGGTTTGTAGGGACCTCTTCTTGACCAGAGGCTGTGCTCGTGCTGGCATGGGCAGTACGAGAGCTCGTGCCGCTCTGAGAACATCTCACTTAGCGCCGTGGTGGCGTTGAACCCAACCTGTCTGGATTTATGGAGCTGGTAAACTCTGCCCGAGTCTCCCGTGCCAACAGAAAGAGAGGTGAAAACTGGCGTTTCATAGCTCTTTCTCTGTTCCCCTCCTCAGAGCGCTCACATCAAAAAATCCAACCAGACAAGGCACACAGGCCGCCTTTAGACGATTTTACGGCCGTGTCCAAGGCCGAGAGAGCGCCAGAGCGCTCGCTTGTCCAGCCTCCTGCCTATGACAAAAAGCGATTGCGAGACTGCTCATCTGAGAGGAGTGAAGGTAGGCTCCCACGGCCAGGTCTCTCGGGGGGAGCTTGGGCTTTGCTGCATATCCAGCCTCTCTCCCCCTTCAGCCTCAGAGAAGGGGAAAAAACCGCGCTGCTTCTGGGCCTTGTCACCACCGCAGCGATGCCTCGTGTGCTCTAACTGCTTCTTCCCCCAGGGCCTCTCGGGCTGGCAGCCGCCATCAGGAGATGCTTCTCTTTCATGCAAAGTGCTCCTCAGCACTGGCCATTTCTGGTGCACATGGTCCTTTTCTATCCACCCCCCACCCCACCCCACCCCTCCTTGGGGTTTTGGGGTTTTTTTGCTAATGTCATTCTTCTTTTTCTCCCC